TTCTGAGAAACAGAGGGTGTGGTCAGTTACAAAAAAAGAAGAGTAACTTCTGTGAAATCACTTGGCATGGTTACAATGATCTTTATTTCTAGAGAGGTCTACATTTTAAAACAGAGCATACTGCTTACCTACCCCTAAGGAATCAGTGCTAAAAGACACAGGAAGGGCCCAAAGTCAAGATCCAAGTTCTGAAATACCTAGCTTATGGAATGAAAAAGATTAGGAGCCTGATGAAAGATGTTAAATAATACTATTAAATACATTATTATTTATTATTTATTTAATATAAAAGATTTAAAACGTTTAGAAATGTACATATTTATCTCACACAACTCTAACATTTTCTATTGGTATAAGATTGGCTAGAAAACAAAGGTCTCAGAAAGCTTGGACTGAAAGTTTTCCTGTCCAGAGTAGGAGTGAGAAGGAAATAGCAGCACTGTTCCTTCATATGCAGTGGGTTAAAAAACAGAGGAAAGAGGTTCATCACTGATTAGGGACTTACAAAGGACGACCTGAATGCAAACCATTTCCATGTACTTTTCCTAATTTTGAAATATTTCAAAAACACAAAAGAAAAAATATAAAGACTCCTAAGAAAAAAATTTTTGAAACTAATATAGTTTTTTTGTGGGTTTTTTTTGTTTGTTTGTTTTGTTTTTTTAGTTTTGTATCTTTTTTTTTCTCTCATTGAGTTTACTGGTACATTTTAGGTATACACTACAGTAACATTCATCATTGGGATCTTGCACCTTTACATGACAGGTCTTGGCTCTCATTTTTTTCCCTTACCCCTGCCTAATACTAATATTGTTAATTGTTAATTTACTAGCCACTGGTGTGAACAGCAATTCAAGCTGAACATCCCTACTCCAAAAATCTAAAATCCAAAATGCTCCAAAATCTGAACTTTTTGAGAGCCAACACAATGTACAAGTGGAAAACTCCACACTTGATCTTGTGATGGATGTCAAAACAGAGGCATACTAAGTATTGTATACAATTACTTTCAGGCTATATGTATAAGGTGTACATAAAACATAAATGAACTATGTGTTTATATTTGTGTCTCATTACAAAGACAACTCATTATGAATGTGCAAGTATTGCAAAATTTTAAAAATCCAAAATTTGAAGTACTTCTGGTCCCAAATATTTCAGATAAGAGATAACTAATTTGTTAGGCATATTTGATTCAAATCAAATAAACAAACAAACAAATACATACATACATGGAGGTGTGAAAGTCCTCCCAGCACTCTACCCAGCCCCTGCCTTCCTCATACTCTCTCTGCAGGAGTAAGCCATGCTCTGACGTGAGAACATCATCCCCCACCAGCACATGTTCAGTGCTGCTCTGGATCACACACATTATTTCTCCACAGAGCACTTAACCTCTTTTGTTTCTAAGAAAGAATCTCCTGATCTTTTAGGAATATTCCAGGTAAATATAAAATGATCACTGTCCCTTGTTTTCTATCAAGTTTTTATAAAAATATCTATTTATGTTCATGTGAAACAAAAAGGATGATTATGATAAAATCTGTAAGAATTTCTCTTAATAAATGAACCAAGATTTCAGGGCCATCTACAAGGTAATTTGTTTTTCCTGTCTGGACTCTTAACTACAGGAAAAAGAAAATCAAATGTTTCACCTACTTCACCATTTACCACTTACTAAACACCTCCTGGGCAAGGGTGGGGGCGAGGTGCGGGGTGCTACTCAGAGTGGACCTTGGACCTTCATGTACATGTCAAACTTCAGACCTACAGCACCTCGGTGTTTGCTTTAGCAAGCTGATATACACGTATATTAAAGCCCAAGAAGTGCCAGAAAGAATTCAGAAAAATAACAGCTTAAAGCAAGTCAGAACTAAATCCAACCACCAACCAGCTAAATTTATCTGTTCCTATTAGTGAGGCTAAGCCCTCAAGAACTAGTAGACTAAAACAATAATAAATGTATATGTTGAAATATTTTACAACTATACAAGCTACATTTTTAAAGTAAGTATGAAAATACTCCAATAAAAGTCCGTGCTCTTTTAATTTACTTCTTTATCATCATCCTATAGCAGAATCCTTACAGACGAAACACTCTGGCCACTTAGAGATGATAAGCAATCTCTGGGATAAATTACTTCACTGAAAGAAGACTTTGCTTTATGAAAAAAACAAAAAAATTAAAAGGTAATTGAAAAAAATCAAACAAACATTAGTAAGAGCTTTGATAATTTCATCAAAATGCTATAAAGAGATAATTTCTCTTCTTAAGACAAAGAATTATGCACCCAAGTAGGATGATGGGAGGCGAGCCATATATAAGAGAAAAACTGGTCAGTAAAGATAAATACGCAGAAAATGAAGGATGAACTCAGAGCTGACTATGCACGTTTTTGTCAAGATGAATGCACTTCTGTGATACACACTGCTGCAGACAGGCTTGTAAAAATACATTCTGTCCAAAGAGAAACCCTGATGGCATATGCACTCTGCCATAAAAACACGATGCAGCACAATCCTATGACCTTATGCTGCACTAAGGGACAAGTGTACTCACTATCCAGATCAGATTAAATCATTGGCAATGGCATTCTATTTGGGGAAAAAACGTGAGGGAAAGCAGTCTACAGGATGCTATTACACTTGTCACTGGGTCTCATAAATCCTATCCTGCCATATTGCTTAACTGTGTTACCAAAGACTCCAACATAACAGTAGATACTGGCTGAGGCATTCTGTGCCATTCACCCATTCTTATTTACCTAAGCTCATGAAACGAGGAGTTCCACCTAAGAGAAAATAAAAACTTACCCTGTTAAGCATCTCTTCTTAAGAAGTTTAGGCACATATAGAAATGTTTCTTAAATATGATCTCAGGTATTTGGGAAACACTTTTTGCATTCCTAAAGCCTCAAAGTTAACATAATGACCACTTTCACTACAAAAATTCAATGATAATGCCAGAAATACCTATCATAGGCAAAACCCCCAAATACTGGCTCACCAAAGGGTCTACTTTTTCTTTTTTTCAGTTGATGATCATTACCTAGTCCTTTTCATCTTTTACCATTTCTTCTGCTACCACTCTTTCCTCCCTTAACGCGCTGGGATGAGCTGGTGAAAAACAGTGACTTAACTGAGATTCTGGGGCAAGGAGAGAAAGTTAATGGACTGTACTGGGATAGTCTCCATTTCCACTGGGACTGATCTGAGCTTTAAGAGAACATTTTGTCGCAAATTTCTTAAATGAACATAGTTCTTCTCTGCCCTGTAGAAGAGACCATGCACTCAGACAACTGAACTCACAAAATACACTAATACCTTGCTATAAAAACTTTTAATATTTAAGAGTTGAAAAATTACTACCAGCCAGGCATACTGGCACATGTCTGTAATCCCAGCACTTAGGAGGCAGAGGCAGGAGGATTGCAAGTTCAAGGCCAGCCTAAAGAGTAAGATTCTGTCTGAAAAAAAGAAAAGAAAATCTTTTACTTACTCATGTAGAGTGTGCATTTAAAAATGAAGCCATTTGCCTAGCCATGAGTCACTGCTATATCAAAACAGGTAACAGCACAAGCAGAAAAGATATTATCTCTAAGTTCTTCAAAACAACCAAATTATCAGGAAAGCATCTGGGGGAAGGCTGTGGTATTCCCATCATTTCTAAACCAGAAGTTTACTTGGGTCAAGTCAGTCCCTCCCAACAAAGGGAGGGTGGTGGAAGGTCATGCCAGGGATCAAAAGTGCTTGTATGTGCAGATTCACAGCACTCTGAGGACTCTGAGCTCACTGTACTGGACCTACAGCATCACCACAAGCAGATATACTGCGGGTAGAAAATGTGTAAGCCAGGCACTCTGGGGGACTGAGAAAGGAGGACCCCAAGTTCAAACCCCACCTGAACAACTAAACAGACTTCACAAGACCTTGTCTCAAAATTAAAAATAAAGTAAAATAAAATGGATTGGGGATGTAGCTCTGTGTGAAAACCCTGGGTTCAATCTCCAGTGCAGTGTCCTCCCAAAAAAGGCAGTCCCAACAACCTAAGCAAATGACTTCTCACAGACTTCTATAATAAAGGAATTGTGCCACTCATGAAATCATTTCTGGGAAGTCCTCGTTTATATACGTGGTGGCTTCTGTAATATTTCTGAAAGAAAAAAATTTGTCTATCATTAAATCATTTCTAGGAAACTTCACAACTTTATGTAACTACACATGATAATCAAAACAATGCTCATATATTCCAAAAATGTATTACAATAAATAATACATTGCCATTAACTGCCCTCAAAACACCCTCACTTCAAACACATTCTTGCCACTTTCTGAGCAGTTCTCAAAGTCCTCTTTTGTATCTTTAGTAGCGCTATTGTAGTTGCCTGGATGTCCTGAATTGATTCAAAACATTTATCTTTCACAGTCATTTTGAAAGAGCCAGAAGTCACCTGTTCTAGATTCAGTGAATGAGGCAGATAAGGACACACTGGAAAGACTACACTAAATAAGTACTTCCGGGCCGGGGAGTTAGCTCAGTGGTTCTGGCACCTGCCTCTCAAGCGCAAGGGCCCGAGTTCTATCCCCAGTATCAAAAAAAATAATAAATAAATAAATAGGTATTTCCTGGAACTCTGGTGTTTTGTAGCAAATCACTATCATTTTAGAGAAATCCTGGTTTCTGAATTGAAGTTCTCACATAGTCCTTTATGTCCAATTTTTCTTTATTTTCATCTGTCTGCTCTGTTCTTCTCTTCCCAAACCCCCCACACACACAAGGAAAAAAGAAGGAATGAACTAAGAAGAATGAATGGGAGGAAGAGAAATAAAGAGGAAGGAAAAGGGGCCACATTTATGTGGAGTAAAATGCTTGAAGAACTTGATGGGTTTGACTACATTCACTGCCTTTCTCTTTATTACTCAGTAAATGACATGGAGGCCATAAAGTGACCTCTCCGTATAAAGAGACCTTTGAGTAACTAGTCCACACCTCTTTCCAGGTCTTTCCTTGAGCAGTTACAAGATGCTCAACTCAACCACCACACAGCCTCCAGACCCGCTCTGTTCGAAGAACACCCTGATCACTCAGCGGATCATCCCTGTGCTGTACTTTGTGGTCTTCATCACTGGAATACTACTCAATGGGGTGTCAGGATGGGTCTTCTTTTACGTTCCCAGCTCAAAGAGTTTCATCGTCTATCTCAAGAACATTGTTGTTGCTGACTTTCTAATGGGCCTGACTTTTCCTTTCAAGATCCTTAGTGACACAGGCCTAGGGCCCTGGCAGCTGAACGTGTTTGTGTGTAGGGTCTCTGCCGTGCTATTCTATGTCAATATGTATGTCAGCATCGTGTTCTTTGGACTTATCAGCTTTGACAGATATTACAAAATCGTAAAGCCTCTTTCAACTTCGTTCATCCAGTCAGTGAACTACAGTAAGCTGTTGTCAGTGGTGGTGTGGATACTCATGCTCCTGCTTGCTGTTCCCAACATCATCCTGACCAACCAGAGTGTTAGGGACATTACAAAAATACAATGCATACAACTTAAAAACGAACTGGGGCGCAAGTGGCACAAAGCATCGAACTATATTTTTGTGGGCATTTTCTGGGCTGTGTTTCTTTTGCTAATCATTTTCTACACTGCAATCACAAGGAAAATCTTTAAGTCCCATCTTAAGTATAGAAGGAATTCCATCTCAGTCAAAAAGAAATCTAGCCGCAATATATTTAGTATCATGGTCGTGTTTTTTGTTTGTTTTGTACCATACCACATTGCCAGAATCCCCTACACCAAGAGTCAGACTGAAGCTCATTACAGCTGCCAGTCAAAAGAACTCCTGCTCTACGTGAAAGAATTCACTCTGCTACTATCTGCTGCAAATGTGTGCCTGGACCCTATTATTTATTTCTTTCTATGCCAACCATTTAGAGAAATCTTATGTAAGAAACTGCGTATCTCACTAAAAACTCGTGACCTGGACACTTTCAAAACCAGAAGGGGAAACACAATTCATGAAAGCACAGATACTTTGTGAATTCCCACCCACTTCCACATAAAGTCCATGCATGCATGTTGTCTGTCATCTTCAATTACATGATAATTGAATGAACAAATAAATATGCCCATGGTAATAACATACGACCATTATTACCAATACTAACAGGAAAATTAATATAGTTAGCACAATAAAATTCAAATACAAGTTTCCATTATTTTTTGTAGCATCAAATAAAAAACACCATTAGGAGATTTTTCTATTACTGCACTTATTTTTCTTTTTAATAATAAGAAAAATATAATGCATTAAATTATTCAATCACACTCCAAAATAGCATGTTTCATTTTATAATAATTAATTTGTTCTGTTAACATAGAACTTAACAGAAACATAGCAAAGACAATTTACGTACATTTCTTCTTTCTCTAAAGACAAGAATTAAATTAGTAAGACATAAACGTTTTTAATGGGGTCCTTAAAGACCAACTTAAAAGCAAGCACTGTTTGATAAGGGCTTTTTTGTTGAAAAAAAATCAAGTTTTCTCTGATTGAAAGCATGATTAAGCAGCTATTCAGAAAAAAAACACTTAAAAAAACCCACACTGACTTATTTTACTGCATTTCAAAATATTTACTTTACAATAAAAATGTAATTTTTCAAAGACATTAAGTATGTTAAATATATCTTATATGCAGATTTACTAAGGCATTTAATAAGTCTGAAGTTGTCACATTAAAATATTTTTAAGTGGATCCTCCTAACAGAAGCCACATATCAGCATGTGTTGTCAGCAATTTCTCCTGCTCAAAAGTATGGGAAGGGAAACAGAATCACCATGAAAAAGACACATTCTAGAATACACATTCCTCTCTTATGAGGTCAGAGGAGAGTTTTCTCAGAAACCAAGCAGACTGAGGTGGACTCAATTTAAAAAAAAAAACCTATAATGTAAAATAATGTGTGAAATTATACATAAAAATTCATGAATCATGCTTTCAGCAAAGCCAATGCATTTTTAATACATGGAGATGAGGATACAGTTGCTGGTATATGAGTTAACAAAACCAACTTCTTTCTTTACTGTTTGCTGGTTAGAAGACATTCAGGTAGTCTTTCAAATGTTCTTCCTAAACATTTTTGTAGGTAACATTTGTATCTGTTTTATGTCTTACTGTATATACATATATCAATAAAAATTATTTTTAATGTATGCTGTCAGCTTTTTTCCTAATACAGTAATCCATGTATAAGAGACACTATGAGACTTCCTTACAGTCAATAAATGGACGATTTCTTTAATATGACCAATTATACACTAATACAAGAAAATGCAAAAGCTCTACTTGTCACCTCAAAACAGTTTCAGCAAAACTCAAAAAACGCTTCCAAAATTGAAGAGAGGCTAGGAAGGTTCTCACACTGGGCATTGATTTTCTACCCTCCAACAACTCTCTGCTCCCAATGGTGGGTCAAATAAACTATCTCAAAAAGAACAAAAATTGTCAAGCTATAAAGGATATCCCTAATAGACTAAGCTTGCTGTATTTATTTGGCTAAATACATCTGGAAACAAATTTGACTGTGTTTATGTTTTACATTGCTCAATGGCTAGAGCAAATAAGTAAATCATAAGATTTTAAATTCCCCCTACTGGGCCACAGGAGAAAGTGAAAGTAAAAAGAAAAAAAAAAGTCTTCCTTCTTGGGTTACTTGGGTCATCTCCTCAGCCTTTATTCCTCTATTCTCAGCAATAAGTATTATTAAAACTTTTCCTTGTGGACGTCAGTTTTCCCTGTAGACCAAGTAATGCTGTTTGTAAGCTCTGCACCAAAGCAGATTAGTAATGTGAAAACAAGGTATTTCAGGAAATGCAGTGCAGACAAGGAGACTATGAAGCAATAACAGTTGAGTAACAATTACTATATACTAGAACTTTTAGATTCACAGCAATAACTAAAACAAAATGGCAGGCATTGGCAACAATGGAGTAAGCCAGAAACTTCTGAGAAATGACCAATGCTTCTATAGGTAGGCTACAGAGTATATTTTCTAAGTCCTTTGTAGATAAAGTTATAGCAGAGATGCTGCAATATTCAGAGCACCCAGCTTAACCTACAGGATGACTGCAGCTGGCAGAGAAGGAAATGCAGGCATTGTTTACAAAAAAAAACAGAAGCTGAGCACGGTAAGCTTAGCATTTATGCCTCACCAAAAGAGGCCAACAAGCCCTTAGCTCCAGCCAATGGCTTCCTTATTCTCACGACAGTTGAAAAGTCACAGTTTGTGTTTCTTTTTGTGGTACTGGTAATTTAACCTAAGGCTTCCCAATGAACTACATCCCTGCCCTACTTTTTCCTTTTCTTTTCTTTTTCCCCTTTCCCCTCTTTTCACCTTTCCTTTCTTTCTTTAAGACAAGGTCTCACTAAGTTACCCAGGCTGAGCTCCAACTTACTGTCCTCCTGCCTCAGCTCCCAAGAGGCTGGAGTTATACAATTTGAATTGCTGGACCAGTAATTAAAACATTTCTATGATAGAATATGATATACCAACAGCTGCACTGCAACATCTAAAACATAGAAATGTAACAGAAATGTGCTCAGAAGTAGCCTATGCCTAAAACCAAAAATCTCCCTTACTAACAATCATGTTTTCTTTACTAGAATTAATTTTTCTTTAACAGAATCCATTTTGATGCATACTTGATTTAACTACTTCTACAAAAAGTTTCAAAGTGTTTGCATAAAAGGAATATTTGGGGCAAAAAGAATCAAGAAACAGATCACAGAAAGATCACAATCATGGACAACAGCCACATATGACACCTATCCACTGAGGGGGTGAGCCACGCACAATGGTGTTTTACAAAACAATTGGCAGATGAAAAGGACAGAAAAATATGCTCAGCTACTATTTTAGCTCATTCACAGCCCAAAAAATGTCCAACAACTTTTAGTTTCAAAGATTTCCAAACTTTTACTGTCATTAAAGAGGTAAAACAAGCAGAGTGTAATAATACAGAAACAGCAATATCTTGGAAGTTGGACATCAACATCTTACTTCAAAATTATTCTGCTTAATCACATGAAGCCAGCATCAGGGAAAAGTCCCGGGCTAACCAGGGGAAAGGAAATAAAGCACTCTAAAAGCTTTTCAAAATGCAAACCTACTGCACAATGGTTCCAAAGAAAGGGCTGACTTTCAAACACACAGGCAGCTGCAGAAGTGAATGATCATAAAAATCTCTAAGATGTAAAATAGTTTGAGCTGAGAGCATCCTAAATTCTCATTCCAGAGGATGCAAACTCCATGAGGTAGGTAGAAATAGTGGCACACTGTCTAACCAGATTCAAGTTTAAGTGGTCACACACACTAATTCAATGAGGAGACCTACACTGATGTGACATCCAGCTTTGTTGTCAGTGTTCCTATCCAACATTTTTTTTTAACTGTAAAAAAGAGCACTAAAAGGTGGCATACATGCTGGTGGTATACAGGTGGTGCACACCTGTAATTTATAAATAAATTAAGCAAGCAAGCATAGCTGAAATCTTGGATTCAATGCCCAGTAAGACCACCACCATTAAAAAAAGCACTAAATTTTATCTGCACAGTGCTGTGCAGGACTTACTTTTTCCACATTTCCGTTTTACCTCTGTAAACAATGGAATCTCCTATCATATCTCAGGGTTTATAGTCTTTGCTTCTAAAAAAAGTAAGTTCTCAGATTCATGCCTGACTGTGGTTCTATCCATTTCCAGCACTCAATTCCCCCTTCTTCATCAATTCCCAATGGTTTCCATGCTATGCCTAAACAAAATGTAAGTATGTTAAACATTAAGAGCCAATAGTTCTCCTGAGATACTACTCTTTGTGCTCAATAAACTCAAAAGTATTATGTGTATATATTGAAGAGTTGATTGCAAAAGCATTTTCTTTCTCAACTCATAACTTGCAAGGCAATTTAGCATTTTATACCCATAAAATATTCATCAAGTAACTAATACATCACTTTGTTAAAAGTACTATCATGAGGAAGGTAAGAGGCAAATGACATTATCTCACTTCTTCCCACTGGGTTTCTGAGATACTGGTTAGTGATGACGTGCAATTTCCTGGAACACTAACAAGTATTATTCTGAAAAACCTTCGTCCTCCATCAAACAAATTTTTTTAAAAAATTCAGATAGAATTTGTGTATTATATGTATTACTGAAGACATTGAAGTGAAAAATATATTTCCAATGTAAATAAACTTCCATACAATGCCAAGTTGCCTAAGCTCATTCTCAAAAAGAAGAATACAACTCAATTTCACTATTAAAAGATCAGTTCTCACTATTCCAGGAAAAAAGAGGACTCAGAACACTAGGGCACTTTAGCTCTTTCCTATTTGGCAGTTCAGACAAACTGTGTTCTTAGTGGAGCTTCAAATAACCCTAAAGAGCAAGCCAGAGACATGAAAATATAAACATGCCTATGGGGGGGGGGACAGAGAGACTGAGACTTCACCCAAAACATTCTGTCCCAGTTTTTCTTCATACCACATTAAAACCATTCACCTGTTTGCAGCCAACTCTACCTCTAAATTCCCTCTTCATCATTACCTCCCAAATAATGGAAACTCTGATCAAAACTGCTCATTAATTTGACTGTTCCACAACTGTATTCTTCAATAAATCATCTCCACAACAAAGCACACACATCTTAAAAGACTTAAGACTTCCTACCACTGTTATCATGAAAGTTAACACTGGGGACCATAACCAAAAAGCAAATACAAAGCTTATGAATGCACTAATAACTATATGAACTTGGGAGAATGTCACAATATCTGACCATTATGATCACAAGGAGCCTTACTTTTTGTTTTTAAAAATTCCTTTAACTTTCCTTAAATTTCTTCTAGCTAAACATTTCTCACTTAGTCTTTTGAGAAATTTTTCTAAAAGCTCCTATCAAGGAATTTGTTTCAGATTCTAAAGAGGTCTCTTCTAAAGTTTTATTGTCCAGAAAACTGATAAAAGATTAATGGGAGAAAAGAAGAAAATTCAAAACACCTATCATGACAGTGAAGAATTGGAAGAAACCAGACCCTAACCAATGACAACAGCTTTGTACTTACCAATCAGCTTTGGACCAGCGTATTTAGAACTCCTGAAAACATTCTTGTGTCACAAGCTCATTTTCTCTTTTATAAAATGGAAAGACATTACAAAGCCACTGGATGATATGTATGCGATTACTCTTTAACAAGTAGCAACTTTTTATCAAGTTCCCCTAAGCTCCTTTCAGATATTCAGTTAACATTTCTCACTTGTAGGCACAATGAACATTTAACTAAATGATGTAAAGTACACTCACTAGAGAGTCCCTTTACATACACTTTATTAATCACTAAACATCTCTCAATTCATTAACTGCTTACCAGTCCAATTATTTAAATACAAGATGACCAAAGAGTATTTTTCCTTAATTTTTATAACAGGAAATATAAAAACAACAATTTTATCAAGATTATTCAATACAAGAATCGACACCTAGCCAGGGATTTAGCTCAGTGGTTCTGCCACCTGCCTTGCAGGAGCAAGGTCCTGAGTTCAATCCCCAGTATACACACACACACACACACACACACACACACACAAAGAATCAACACCTGCACATAAACAGGATGCAAAACTGACACTCAGATGAAATGTTAAGTGGTTAAACTGTGTAGTCAAATTGACAAATACTGCTGGCCTAGTCTTATAACTTGAGAGATACAACATAGTCTTGAATAAAAACATAGAATTTTAAATGGATGTAGCTAAGAATAGGAAAAAACTTAAATGCATAAATCATAAATGTTAACTATCTCTGCATTATGATGTTCTTTTATTTCTATTTCAAGATTTTTCTATGGTGAACAAAAAGAATAAAGATCTTAAAAAACATACTTTACCAGACTCTGTTAAATAATCCTTTTTTTGAAGAAAGGAGCTAAAGGTGTAGGGAAGGTGTGATGCGTAGGGGAAGAACAAAAAGGGAAAAGAAAAAAATGTGAGAGAATGAAAAGATGAAAATAAAGTGTTTGTAGATGGGGAGGGGAGGAGGGGGTGAAGGGAGGGCAGGGACAAGGGGAAAAAATGAGAACCAAGACCTGTCATGTAAAGGTACAAGATCCCAACAATGAATGTAACTGTACTGTATCCCTAAAATGTACCAATAAACTCAATAAAATTTAAAAAAAAAAGCCTTTTTTGTTTAATTAACAGACATCTCCAAGGGGTACAAACTGCAAACATATCTTTTCATTAATGAAAACTCTGAAATGCTGGTGAGTAACATTTGCATACTAAAGACATTTGCTTAAAACACCTTATATCTCTAACTCAAAATCCCTTTCAAAGCATAAACACCAACATTCTTTGAAACTATTATGACAAAGAACATATCTTGGGGACCTCACAAAAGAAAAGATAGGTAAAACAACGGCAAATGAAAATCTTTTCTCCAAAAATTAGTGAAAAACTTGGACTGCTTATATAGCTACAACAAAAAATTTTTAAAGTTTCATTCGGAGACTTTCACACAATTGAACCAGTCACAAACCACAGTTTCATTTGCGTCACCATGCAACATTTTAAAATCACATAAAACAAAAGGAAATTTTTAGTACAGCCAGCAACTCTATGCTGCCACTAACCCAACAGCTCACACTTGTCTAAAGAAGTAAGGCAAGACCTTGCAAGCTACAGAAGATACCCCAGGTATGTCATTTTAAATACTTAATTTATTTCAAATGCTTTTCACATATAGAAAATTCGTAACTTTTCAATGTTTAAGAGGAAGGGGCCAACATGTAACAAAGCTGCTGTATAAACAGGCACCAATTATTAAATAGGTCCTAGATGTGAACTACTCTGTAATTTTCACTTATGACCCCGTCTGTCTCAAAGAAATAGCTTAATTCAACCCAGACTAAACGTCTAGGTGAGCATAACTTATTCAATAACTCAGGTGGATAAAGGAGAATGTTGCAGGTCTTCACAAAAGGTCTTAAAATTACATTCCTCCACAAGTAATGCAACAAGTAATTTCAAAAATTTCTACTGTGCCTCTTACAGAAAATTCGATGAACTTTTTCTACACAATGGGCACTCAATGGGAAGTAAAAGGACACAACATCTTTTCTTTATTTTCCTGGAATACCTCTGAATACATCAAATTTCCACTGGCTCAAAATACCAAGCACTTAATTCTCAAATTTGTGATTCAAAACATGGGCTGTTATGATAGCAAAATTCAACCTCTAAATGACATCACCATCACCAAAGTAATTTAAATAATTACTTTTCACTGCAATCTCAACAGAATTTCACAAAAGCAAACGTGAGACACCCATGATAAGCATTATCGAATGAACAGCTATATTATAATTATGGTAAATAAGTTACTCACCTATAGATAATCAGTTTTAATTTATAGAGAATATTAATCAAAACAAATGTTCTAATTCTTCTCTTTACCATGTAAGTCTTATTATAAAATGAGACTTTAAAAAAAGTGAGACTTTACCACATAATTATGAAAGTAGTGGGGAACTTGAAGAAATATATTATAAAATTACTATCATTCTGTAAATTTGAAATAAACAAGCTTAAATCAAAATCCTATAAAAGAACAATTAGTGAAGGTGTGAAACAAGATCACTGTATACTTACAAATTTCTGACACAAAGAAAAGCATGCTCAGCTTTCCAGGACACAAATAAACATAACTATCAAAAATGAGGGTCATGAAGAAGGCAGTGAAACCTAGAGGAATACAGATATAGAATGGCTTCCTTCAGGGGGTTGACAAGAGACAGGTCCTAGTTCTGCTTGAATAAACTGCAAAATCTTAAACCACACACAACTGCAAGACCTCAGTTTGCTCAACTTATTGGAGTATGGGACAGATGCTGTAAGCAAAGACTCCATCCATTATTAAAATAATAAGAACCCCAAATTTTATCACATTTAAAAATACAAAAGCAAGAAGTAACTGCTCACTGACAATCACTCCTACCAATGTAAAGCACAGAAATGGCATTAAAGGAGGAAGATGGTAGCTAGGTCACATGCTTAGTATGTGTGAAGGCCCTGGGTTCAATCCTCAGCAACCAAAAGGGAGAGAGAATAATAGGGAGGAACTAAGTTATGGAAATTCCAAAATTAAAGCCTAAATTTATAGAATATGATCCAAATTTATCAAGCTTCACATATATTTGCTTAGAACATAATTCCTACGACAGAGTAAGGCCTGAGGTAAAGACTGGTTGCTATATTATCATTATTATCGTTATCATTAGAGTCATCATTGCCTTTACTATTGTTGTTGAGAGAGTGTTTTGGAGTGATTTTTCAATATGGCTTCAAAGATCAACATATGTTGAAATCCTGATTCTATAACAATCTTGTTACACATTAGTTTTCTCATTTGCAAAAGACAGGTTATAAAAAATAGCTCAAAGGAATGATAAAAGGCTAAACAAACATATGAGTAGTCACCAGACACAAAGTGGTAACTAGTTTTTACTGTAATTGGTACAGGATGACATTATATATGGACCCAAGAGCCCTAAATCGGGTAAGGGAAAGGTATGCACACTTTAAGTGATAATTTAACTTAGAAATTTTATGTACATCTGCCCTAGTAATCTGCCTGCATATATTAATTCATTCCAAGATCAAACAATTGAAAGAATTAAAAGATTTAGAAAGCCTTTGTAGGTGTTTGCTTTTAAGAGACTTAATGGTTAGGCTTTTTTGGTTTTTTGGGCTAAGTTTTGTTTTGTTTTTTGTACCAGAGATTGAACTCAGGACCTTTCACTGACGTAGAGCCACCAAGCTAAATCCCTGGCCCAGAGATTTAATAACTGATGTGGTCTTCTATATCAGTCACTAAAGAGAGGTGTCTGATATGTAAAAGGAGGACCTACAGCAAGACACCACCCCAGAAAACTGATACCCCAGTGGCCCTAGGCATGTGAGTTTGACTGGAACATATCCAAGGGAGCCCGATCAGTTTGAGTTTATAAATCTATCTAGTTTTCACAATTTGGAAGAAGAGGATGAGATTTTACTTGTCATTATCAATGCCAATCACCATTGTCTAAGAGAAAGTCTTACATTTCTTTTAACCGTCCAAAAACTCACAATGACAGAAAAAAAGCCGGTGTAAATATTAAAGTTAGGTGGTTTGATACTAATACAACTGAGTTTCTGAGTTCATAATCAATGAGTCTATATCCACCATGTCCTAGAAATGTTTAAAATTTACTTTTCACAAAACTATTCAAAAACACTGCTGTAGGATGTAGCTCAGTGGTGCTGCTGCCTGCCTCCCAAGAACAAGGACCTCAGTTCGATCTCTGGTAACAAAGAAAAACAAAACAAAACGAAAACACTGCCATGAAAATATCTATACCAGTATTGACCGATACCAATACAATCAATCCACAAAAACAACTGACGTTCCTCTAATAGCTACATTTTAAAACATAAAAAGAAACAAGAAAATGTAATTTCCTTAAAATACTGACCTTAACATAACAAAAATAATTTCACCATGTTTAACATAAAAATATCAGTAAGATTTTAGCTTACTAATTTTATATGATTTCCATAAAATAGTATAATTTGTACTTCCTGCAAGATGCTACATTTTGTAGTAGACCTTCAAAATCCAGTATCCATCTTGCATTTATGGGACACCACAACTTGGATTGCTTAAAGTATTTAATAGCTGCAAATGGCTACAGGCTACAGTATTGGACATCACAGTCTTTACCATTATGAAATTGGAGTAATGAAAAGGGAGGAAATATGACCAACTCAAGGCTATATTCTAACCCTTCAACTATTTCTGCTGAAAAGAAAAAAGAAATTTTTGTCTCTAAAACGTTATCTACTGGGTCACACAATGGTCTACTTTTTAAACCACATTTAATCTTACTATAAGCTGTTGTCATCCCTTCCTCTCCCTTCAGCTTAGCCTCTTCCAGGACCTATATTACTCTTTAAAAAGAAACCAGAGGTAGTCAGGCACAACCACAACACTACCTTCCTGCCCTACTCAGAATCTACCCTCACTTATCTCTTCTGCAAACTATACCTCCACCCAACTGCTTTAATAAAGAGCTACCAGAATATAAAACAAGGTCAAAATGTTCCTTCCAAAAGCAAGCTACACATGACTTTCTGGAAGTCATAAAATCAGACAAGGGAAAACCAAGGATTCCTCAAAATCAAGGATGTTCCCAACAGTCCGCATGTCTAGTAAGTTCAATAAAATTCTATCTAAAAACTAGAAAGACCATAATATCATTATTGCAAATGTTTTCTTTTAAAAAAAAGGTCTCTAATTTAAAGTACTAACCTCTTCTTTTTAAAAAAAAAAAAAAAAAAAAAAAAAAAAAAAAACTCGCTTTTTTTTTAAATTGAA